ATGGACACTTCTGTGATATTTTATATTTACTTGTCTTTGAAAACAACATTGACCAATCCTTTTCAATTGCAAGCATGTTAAAAAGATTAGCGGAGATGCTTTCATATTCAAACTTTCTGCTTAAATTCTATCAAAGCAATGTTTCTGCCCATCTTAGCCTGATAATCAAAAGTAAATAAAACATTTTTGTGAGCTAAATATCAGTTGCTGGTTTGACATGTAAACTTCACTAGCAGATGCATGTTTGTTATGTCATAGTGTCAGTTAAAGGTGGCATATGTTCTGATTTTGGAGGCAAAGTAGCTATGTACATTCCTGTTGAATATAACATAACCTGACAAGCATTTAATAACAGAAACTGACTGAAATACTTGTTCAGACCTGCTGTGCTGAGAATGACTCATCAGGATGTACTCAGGTTGCATTATTAGTAACTTACATTGCTGTGGCTCCGACTCAAAGCATACTTAACTTTCATTCTCATGTAGAGCTTTAAGATTTTGTAGATCTCTAAAACATTAATTTCTCTTTAGTTGTAACTAATCACAGCTGTACTTCTTCAACATTTCAATTTTAGGGGGAACTGTGATAGACCTTCATTTAAGTAAGGCAGTGGAAGTCAGCAAGGAACCAAATCCATCTGTAGAGCAGGTTCAGGAGGCCTGCAAGGATATCTGCTCTGATGATGGCCAAAAAGCAGAGAGTGATGACAGGAAAACAGAGATTAGCAGTGAAGTGAACAAAAAAGAAATGGATTTAGACTTGAAACCAAGGGAAGAGATCTTGTCAAAAAAGACTAAAAAGCACAAGACTAAAGAACGTGCGAAAAAGAAAGGAAAATCTGAAGCAGAAGAGAAGCATGAGGATAAGGTAAAAGATATAGTCCAAGCAGTTAATACTCCTGAGAAGGAGAATGACACATCTTCTATAATGAGATGCAATCCACCTACCACTCCGTACTTGAAAAGGTAAGATTACTTCAGGTCACTATGGAAAATTATCAGTGTTTGGGGTAACAGGCACTTTGTCCTCTTGAAACAGGGAGGCACTGCATCTATGAACACCTGGTTAAAAGCTTTCAAGAATTTAAGGGTTTGGGGTGTTTTTTTTAAGATTGTTTCTTCTTCCTTCAGGGAGAAGCCTTTTTTAAAAATAAATTCCTCCTTATTCAAGCTAATTTGCTATTTGAATGCCTCACTATAGAATAATCCAACCTCTGTGGCAGAGACATAAATTCCAGTATTAGAATCCCCTCCTAGAGGCAACATGGCAGTAGCAGTTCTACACTAAGATAGGTAAAAATAAAGGTGACTCTAGTCCTCCCCTGTTCAAATGCAGATGTGGTTATATGTCATATAGCATGGAAATGAACAAGATGTAACTGTCCTGTAATGATTCTTAATTGTATCTTGGGGTAAAAATCTTGGTAGTAATCTCAGGACAAAACAGATGATATTTAAATTCCTTTTTTGCCACAAAGTTTCTTCTAAGATTGAAGACTTAAAGTTGTGCTCAGCTTGGGCATCTGCTATAGATGGACTTCCGTTAGCTGTCTGCTGTCCCTCATAGCAGGAAGAATAGTTTCCCCCTGGCGGAATAGGAGGCATTCTTCCTTTTGAAACTCATTTCAGGAAGTTTCCCTGAAAATATTTTTCCCAAGAAGAGTTGTATATCTGTTTTAACTGTATGACTGGGAAAGAGCCTGTTTCCTTTGGCTATGGAAACGAGCTAAATGGAATCACGATTTGCTGTTTGTTAGCACCTGCTAGATGCTACAGAAGTAGTTTATATGACGGTGTGCCTATGTTCAGTGATGATTTCTTTTCTTCTTTTCCCAAGTGTGAAGATGCACCATGAGGAAAATGATGCCAGTGCTAAAGACCTGAAAATTGTAACCCCTCTGCGATATTCTCAGCGCATTCGAGAGAAGATGTGCAAGCTGTCAGATACAGCTAAAGATCAAGATCCATGTGTCTCTTCATTTGAACAGCTGGGAGAACTGGAATCAAAAGCTATTGCATTTGTCCACAAAGAGAGCAATGTGATTGAAAAGACAAGTGCTGAAGTAGAGTAAAAAGTAGCATTAATGCTACATGGGGGTTAAAGATTGATCCTTTTTAAGAAGAGGTGGGGGGGGTGTTTGTTTTTAGCAGCTTTGAGAGGAGCTACCTAAAACTTGCATAGATAACTTAGGATTGAATTATACTGCCGGAGTTACAAAACTTTTGAATTTACAAGTTTCTGCCTCTTCAAAATCTTGGCAAATCTGGTCTGGTTTAGTACTCATAAACATCAGTGTCTTCATGTTAAATATGATTCATTAAATACTGAATTAAGGACTAGGCATAACACTTCACATAACAGGTCGTAGTATATTGCTAATACCTACTGTTTCCCTATTGCAATTTCTATAAATATTTTAGGATTGCATGGTCTAACTTTTAGCTTCAAAAACAACAATAACATAGTCATTCCAATAGGGTAACGTCTGCTACAACATTTAGTTTTGAAAACTGAAACCAGCTAGTAAGGTGTACACTAAATTGAAACTGTTGTATTGCTTAGCTAAGGTCTGATACACTAATTACTATGTGACTGTTCTAACATTGGTTTTAAATTAGTCTGTAATATGGTAGACTTATTAAACTAATCAACTGAGTTGTATTTGTTCTTTATTTATGGGCTTCAGGCTGGAAACTAAAGGCTATAGAATATAGCTATATATAGGCCTGAGACTGGAATTTTGAACATTATTTTAGTCTGTTCTTAAATGAACTGTCAGAGCAGAATGTGAAATTTTTCATGTTCTGCAGATGCGGAGTGTTTCATAACTTCAGTATGCTGCATTTACATGAACTGTAGCTTAAATCCTAGCTGAGTATTCAGATTTCAGTGTTAAACAGATCTCAGCCTTACGGCTAGCTAGAATATTCTATTTGCAGAAGGAACAAGCTCTTTGCACATAACAGGATGCATCTGACAAGAAAACAAAGTTTACTATTGCACTTTAAGAATCCTGATCACTGACATGCTAGCCGAAGCATCCATTTGCAGTACTAAAATGAGTCACACATTGAATGTGTCCAATTCAGCACATGGTCTAAGCAGGGCCTTCTCGTTCTCTGTTGTGGAAGATTTAAGTGCTGCATTTTCTGGTTCATGTGCTGACCAGGGTTTGTGATTTAAACTCAGCTGGTAACTCAATAACACAGAGCTGCTCAGCCCTTCTCGCTGGGTGGGATGGGGAGGAGAATTGAAAAAATGTAAAACCCATGGGCTAAGAGTAGTTTAATAACTAAAGTATAATATAATACTATAAATAATAAGGGAAATAATAGGGGGTGAGAATATGCAACTGAAAGGGGAAAGTATAAAACCAATAAACACAAGTGAAGCACAGTACAATTGCTCACCACCTGCTGATCGATACCCAGCCAGACCTGAGCAGTGATCAGTCCCTTCCAGGTAGCTCCCTCCAGTTTATATACTAGGCTTGACATGCTGTTGTATGGAATACCCAAAACATGAAGGCAAGGCAGCAATACCAAAGGGTAAGTCAGCAACTTGTTTGGTGATATAAGGAATGACAAAATGAGTAGGAATTGTAAGATCTTAAATACAGCCAGAAAGTTCAGGTCTTAATTATTTTAAAATCTAATATCAATCATGTATGGAAGAAAACTTGAAGAGTATATATTATATTCCAACATGAGTACACTGCAAAGCTGCAGTACATACATTTTAAGTCTTAAGGTTTGTGCTGGAATTAAACTTTTTAATTTTAAAATAATCAAAACTTTTAGGTGTTTCATATATGTTAAATAGGACAGTGTTTTCCTTCTCAGAATATGGTGAAGCAAGTTATTTTCATAATTTAATTTTTATAGAAAATGTTAGATTCTTCTGAATAAATTTAGCTACACCAAAATTTAGCTACACCAAAATGAGCTATGTTGACAGAAGCAGGAAGAAGCTTTCACATAATTTTTACTGCTTGGTTCAGTGGTGCTGTCATACCTCTGCAGTACCAATTTACCACAAATGTCTGCTAAAGGTATTAACTCTTGAACCTGTTCTTTAATGTATCACGCCATGTTGTGGCTGGTGGAAGCTCAAATAGAAAATATGGTAAGTATCCAAATATAAGTGCAGTATTAGTGTTTTAGTAATTTAGAATGTTCTGTATTATAGAAAAGTTCATACGGAAAATCATTAGTATGCTAATCCATAGATCAGCCTACTAAATCAGCTGTCATCTGTATTCAGATTGGTGGGAAGTGCACAAGAAAACCCTGCCGTGTAACATTTTGATGCTTTCCATATTCAGTTTAGTTCCAAAGTGGACTACCTTATAGTTTTGTCAAAAACAAAACCCACTGAAAACCATCTCCTGTTTTTCTATGGTTTGGGACACTGCAAAAAATTAATGCATTTTCTTGCTTCAGGGACACATTTTCAACAGGCTGTTGTGGAAACAATCTAGTCTGGGCATAATTCTAGCTTTTAGAGTCCTTGTGAGATTTCAGGTGAGGAAAATAAAGTCACAGTGCCCCAGATATCACCTATGGGTACATACATTATAGCACAGACTGGCTCAGCTATATTGAGTATATTTTTCAAAACATGTTGCCATTCTGAAAATGTTATTGAAACACAGTGACTGAATGCTCAGATTTACCTACAGTAAGTGAAGTTAGGCTTGTCAGTATTTGTAATCTAAATTATTGTTGTTAGTAGTTGTGGTTATTAAATTATTTCAGTCTTTTCTGTATCACAAAACTGAGGGTGTAAAATGCATAGACAACTTTTTAACCTAGAACACTTGCTAATAACTAAGTAAATCTAGATATCAAATGTATTTGGAGTTGGTAAGAGAACTGCAGAAATGTTAGTGCCAATAGTGCTGTTCTGATTGCCCCCTTCTATTTCAAAGAGATAATGCAGCACTATGGGAATATCTGAAGTTTTTCTTTGTGACTGTGTACTGGAAAACCACATCGCGGTGGGTGGACGTCAGGTGCCCACCAAAGATGCTCTATCATTCCCTTCCTCGGCTGGACAGAGGAGAGAAAATGCAATGAAAGGGTCGTGGGTCGAGATAAGGACAGGGAGAGATCATTTACCAGTTACTGTCACCGCCAGGACAGACTGGATTTAGGAAAATCGGTTGTTACACGTAGGTTGGTAAGCGAGGCTCCGCCGAGCATTCAAGGCAGTCGGGCTTTTCTTTTGGGACATCCAACTCCTGTTGCTGGCCACTCGAAGCAGGGAGGTGGTTGCGGTTTGCCTGAGGGAAATAGCGCTCCTCTTCCTCCCCGCCGCTGCGCCGCTCCAAACGCCAGCCTCCGTCGGGGGTGCGAGGGTCCGGGCGCCTCTCCTCCGGGCGTTGGGGTCCCGGACGCGGCCGAGCGCAGGCAGGTACCGCGACCCCCGGAGCCGGGCAGGGACACAAGTAAGGGAGGCCCAGACAAGGCCAGCCCGCCTGGCGCGGCTCGTCGCCATGGCGACGGCACCACAGCCAGGGCGGGAGAGCGGCAGAGCGGCAGAGTGCGATTCCCCAGCGCGGCGAGCACGGCGGTATTCCCCGTGGATTCCCCTCCCCGGCCACCCGCGGTGCCTGTCCCGCATCTCCAGAGCAGGAGGTTGTACACCACCATTCGCGTGTAGGTCCCGCTGCGAAGGAGGCGGTGGCTGCCTCCACCATCACCTCGGCGGGTGACGTCTGTCGAGCCCCATCACCGCGCCCGGGGCCTGGCCTTGCCTCCTTGCCGTACTGCGGGCAGCCGGGCGGGTGAGGGACAAAGCTATGCCGATGTGCTGCTTCTCACCGGCGACTGCGAACAGGAGCTGGCTTGGACCCAAACACCTAAACTGTAACTGCCTGGGGGTCACCCTGCCAGCACCCCGAAGTGATCCTCAGAAACCACCTGTTAGGGCCTGCACAGGCTCCCGAGGTTGCCTGGCCTTCCTGCCAGGAAAAGCCTAGATCTTAGCAAACCTCCCTTTCTAAAACTCAGGCCAACCAATAAGAACAGTTTAAAGTGTTTGCTTATGTTTAGCTGCGTAGGTTTGCGTATGGGTATGTTGCAGGTACCCAGTGACATTGTAATTTCTGTCATAGGCTTCTAGAGGACTCCTGGTGCCCAGCTGCGTTTGGCTGTGGTCTGCAGAATGCAGTGGCTGTTTATCTTACTGCCAACATTAGATCACATCAGTTTCAACTGAATCAACATGAAATAGCACATTACTTAATTTTTTCCTTCATTAAAAGAACAACTCTACAGTATTGTTAACTTCAGAAAATAATGAGTCCCAAAACCATATAATCTTCACATAGTACTTTCTACTGCCTCATGTTTTAACTTTAGGGTGTACCTAAAACTAAGCTTCAAGCTTCTCTTTATGAGACACTCATAAACTTGCTGCTTAAGGAAAGTTCAGATCCACAATAATTTGCAGACTTCCAGGAGATGCCATTTTTAGGAAGGATCAGTAGCAGTAATAAAAATGTGATAAAATATAAAAGACAGTGATAAAATGACAGTTTTAAAGGTAGTGTCTATTTCAACAGCACAAACGAACGTTAGAGCACTAATTGTACAATACTAATTTGGGGACTTCTTCATTTTAGCCACTGCTTTAAGGTGAAGACATCATGGATAAATATGAAATCATTAAAAAAATTGGAGAAGGATCTTTTGGCAAAATATTCTTGGCAAAAGTAAAAGTGGATAATGAGCAGTGTGTTATTAAAGAGATCAATTTAACTAAGGTAAAACAACAAACCCTGGATGGTAACAGCAGTTATTTACCTGATTGTGTTAATTGCATTCAGCAGGGGTATGAATTTGGGTTATGTTTTATCTCCTTTGTAGTTCTGTCTTCATAATATAGAGTTAAACTTTCTGAAGACTGTACTCTGTGCTAATATAAGGATTTTACAAGCATAGACAAAATACATGTTTTGATATTGTGTTTACTTTTTACTTCATTTTTGTTCTTTCAAACACTTTTCTCTATGTTCAATGCCAGACACTATCTAATTCAGATTTTATTGTAAAGGATTCAACTGCAATGAAACTATTGCCACTGAAATAACAAATCACAATCCTGTGATACATTTACCTAAACCTTTTAATTTTCTGAGGGTAAGAAACTTATTATAAATATAAGAGGACATTTTGATGGATGGATACTGAGAGACGTGAATTTTTAAGAAGTTATATTAATGAAAATGTGATCACGATGAACCAAATAGAAGTTTTCCTTTTAACATAACAGGGCAAAGTTTGCCCGAAATGTTACAGAAACTTGTAACACCAGTAAAATGAATAATTTTTTTTTTTTTTTGTTCTTTTGACAACACCCATACTAGAAATACAATCATCTAGATCCTTATTCTTCAAGTACTTAAAGGAAGTTCAACTTCAGGGTTGAACTCTATCCATCAGCTGGCTTAGCAATAGCATTTGTATAAAAAGTTGAAATGTAGATATTTGCCTGCTTGTATAATGTCATAATTTGGCTTGATTTTGCTCCTTTCAATATATTTCGAAGCATACACCTGCTTTTGCATCACCTTGGTACACTGTCTTTTTGTATTTATGGAAATGGTTTGATAACAATGTAACTGTTTTTGAAAAGAGTTAAATATATCATTGCTAGCATGTAGTTTATTAATTCTTTGCAGATGCCTGTGAAAGAAAAAGAAGCCTCTCAGAAGGAAGTTATTCTTCTGGCCAAGATGAAGCATGCAAATATTGTAACCTTCTATGCTTCTTTTCAAGGTTTATTCTTAAAATTTTTGTTAGATTTGTGATTAAAGGAGCGAAACCAACCTTCCTAATTTTGCCCAAACTTAAGCCTATATTCAGCCTCTTGCTTACCATTGGGGACAGTTTCCAAGTCCTAAAAATGACCATGAGGTATCAAATTCAGTCATTGCTTGCCCTTTTCTTGTGTGTGCGGGGGACCTAAGGTATCATGGCATAAACGCTACATCCTGCAGTGTCTGCATAGTTTAAGTTGAACTTTAGTCTTGATCGTCATAGGACTCCAGAATTTAATGAGAATTTTTTTGGGAGATTCAATAAAAGAAGAGAGCTTTTGAGTATAGCAAGAAATAAGTCCTGTTGGCCTGTTTTCTTGAGCAATATTTTGAGGTATCACTCAAGGATACACAATTCTTCAGGACTGAAAGAGACGGAACAAAGTCTGTTCTCCATAAGAGCTATTTCCCTGTATTTATTTTTCTTGCTGATGACTGTCATAAGCAATGCCTTATGTAATTAATGTTATGGTTTGTGTTCAGATTGTTTTCTGTGATCAGGACTGTAAATTTTTGAAGGGACACATAAATCTGGTGGTTTTCTGGATCTCAGAGTGGTAAGAATAGGGTGATTTTCCATATAAAATGGTCCCTGTTGTTTATTTCTACTGTTTGGACACTGTCTGCTTTTAACCTTTCCCCTAAGCCTAACTCTATACTTAGTAATTATTGGGGAACAATCCCAACTATGAGGCATTATGCTAAGCATTGCCTGTAAGAATATCTGTCTATCAGTGTGGTCTCTTGGAGGTTTTCGCATGTATTTAATATTTTGGTAAGTCTCCATTTAAACATATATTTGTATCTTAGTTTTTGCATCAAGCTTCACTGGAAGTATCCATTTTTTCTCATTTACTCTTTGAAAGAGAGGAGTAGATAGAAGATTAGCTACTCCTGTTTGAAACAAGTACCATATAAAATAAAAATAATTTATTGCTGTATTAATGAGTAATAAAGGAAAAATTATACTTTTCCTTTCAGAAAAGAACAAGCTTTATATTGTGATGGAATACTGTGATGGTGGAGACTTAATGACACGGATAAATATGCAGCATGGAGTGCTGTTTGACGAGGACCAGGTAAAAGAACTTCTCTTTAGAGGAAAGGACTTACTATGTAAAACACATGGTTTGATTTACCCAGTACTAGCTACTGTTTCTTTTCTGGCCTGTTAAAATAACTGAACGCTTTAAAGAAACTGGTAATTTTAATGGAATTTTACAGCTTGCTTTTTATACTACTTTAAGACCTTAAGTTAATTCATTACTATAATTTTGGTGACATTTTTATCCCCTTTTCCTCTCACTGCTCCTTCCATTGTGGCTGCACTTTTTCTTTGTAGTATACTTAATAAGCCATAAAGACTTTCTTTTAAATGGTAGCATAGCTTTCTGAAGGAAATTTTCTCTTATGTATTTGACTTAGTGTACTGAATTCTGAGGTTATTTAATCATGCATAGTTTTCTACTTTTGCAGCCATAATGAAAATGTATGTAGAAACTACATAAATAGTATCCAGTCTGTTAGTGGAAATATACTCTAAAGCACAGAAGTGGAAAAAAAAAAAGGAAGTAGTATTGTGACTTTTCTTTTTGCTTCAATTGTAAAAGAGGAACTCCTTACTGTAGAAGACAATTGGAAGTGAATTACTTCAGTAATAATGAATTTTAAGATCCTATTGGGAGTCACACTAGAGGTAGGAAGAACGTGAGAGAAAATAGATAGGACAAAACTACAGATCATGAAAGCACAAGAGAAAACCAATACACACAATGCCCTCGACAATGAGATAATATATGTTCAAAGAAACGCAAATGAAGAACAGACATAAAATCAGATTATAGAAACTAAAGATAGCATTTGCTAATTAAGAAAGGAAAGCAAATTGCCCAATATAACATTATGTCATTAAAATATCTTCATATTTTCAAGTGTATGCTTAAGAAAGTCTCATTTGTGGCATCTTCCCTATTCAGGAAATCATACGCTTAATGAGAAGCATTACTGAACAGAAGATTATTACTTGAATCAAAGTCTTTCATGACCATCAATTTTCCTAAATAGAGAAGGATATAATCACATTGTAATTTTGTTTCTAAATTAAGTCCAAAGGCCCTTGTGAAATAAAACACGTGTATATTTAAAGTTAAATATATGTTTAAGAGCTGTACTGTGTCAACAACAAAGGATAAACCTTTGTGCTTACTTAGTATACAGGTATGTTCATAGCTCCCTTCAGTCACCACTCACTGTTTTTTAGTGAACCACATTCAGTAAGTGTACAAATGTGATAACTGGGTGGTATGACTTCCGCCACTGTGGATTAAGAAGACATTTCTCAATTCTGTCTTAGTTGTTATTTGAACTCACTCATTTCTAAATAAAGGTCTAGTATTCTTTCTGTTCTTTGATGTGAGTCTTTGTTCAAGTACTTGTCCTGTCACAGCCAGTGAAAACCTGATGGGGGTGGTGAAAGTGGAACAGGTATCTCTTTCTGTTTAGTTTTGTGATAACACTAAAAAAGGAAAGGAAAAGTCTATGGCATTAATTGTAAAAATATTATTTTTACTATTTCACATGTATATGCTGTACATATTTTAGATTTTATAGTATCTTTTTCATGTATTTCAGTAAGATGCCCTATTGGACGTTAAATTCACACGAATTTATAGGTATCTTTTCCCTTTAACTTTCACTCCAGATTCTGAGTTGGTTTGTGCAGATCTCTTTGGGTTTGAAGCATATTCACGACAAGAAGATTTTACACAGAGATATAAAAGCACAGGTAGTAAAACTGGTACTGAGAGGTCGTACTTTTTGTCTTGAAAAAAATATGCTTAAGAAGCTCTGCCATGTTTAATTTTCACATGTGAGTTTTGGGTTTTTTTTCAGAATGTTTTTCTTAGCAATAATGGAAAGGTAGCAAAGCTTGGGGACTTTGGCATAGCAAGACAGTTGAACAGGTAAGCACCTTTTTCAATTAGTGTGTGACCTACACTAGGTAGGGCTGGTTATGAGTAGTCTGAGTGTAATCTGAGCATGCAAATTGCTTGTGGATTGGGCTTGTTCAAAAGGTCTGGGATACAAAATGTCTCACACTATGATTTTTCTGTTATGCTAACACATGCCACGAAATAAGAGATGTGTCTAGCCTAGTACGACACTAAGGGGGCTGGAGCACCTCCCATATGAAGAGAGGCTGAGAAAGTTTGGGCTCTTCAGCCTGGAGAAGAGAAGGCTGTGTGGAGACCTCATAGCAGACTTCCAATATCTGAAGGGGGTCTACAAGGATGCTGGGAAGGGACTCTTCATCAGGGCCTGTAGCGATAGGACAACAGGCAGTGGGTTTAAACAGGGGAATTTTAGGTTAGATATAAGGAGGAAGTTCTTTATTGTGAGTGAGGTGAGGCACTGAAGTGGGTTGCCCAAAGAAGTGGTAAATGCTCCATCCCTGGCGGTGTTCAAAGTCAGGTTGGACAGAGCCTTGGGTGACATGGTCTAGGGTAGGTGTCCCTGCCCATGGCAGGGGGGTTGGAACTAGATGATCTTAAGGTCTTTTCCAACCCTAACTATTCTATGATTCTAGCAACTAGACTTTTGTTAGGTATAGGATGTATTCCGTGTATAAACTTTTTTGTTCTTTGTGTTTCATTAGCACTACAGAGTTTGCTCATACCTGTGTAGGGACCCCCTATTACCTGTCACCTGAGATCTGTGAAAATCAACCATACAACAATAAAACGTAAGTCTCTTTCCTTCATGTGCTTATGCATGAGGGCATGCAGGCACAAGATAACTTATTTTAGCAATGTCATGGTTTAAATCAGTATTTTGCAGGGCACTGGGAATTTCACGTGTCACCCTTGTGAAGTTTTGTATTACTGTGTACAATATTTAGGTGCATCAACCATATACAATAACTGTGTTATATTGTACAACACTGTCAGCAATATTTTAACTCACAGTGTCTAGAATAATCACGAATCTGCTACGATTCATCTAAAGACTTAACATAAATATATTTTTTGTTTTTATAAAATTACTTGTACTTTAAGCTTAAATCTAATTCTCTTTTAATACTCCTTGTTAGTAGTGATGTGAAATGTAAAGTAGTTTATTTTTTTTCCTTTGCTTTATCTGGTTCTCCATCAAATACTGAATTTCCTTCTGTGTTTCCAACATGTAGTGACCAATGCAAGTATGGATTTTTTTAGTTCCAAGGTTATGAATTTTTGGTACACTTACTTGTGATTTATAAAAGTACACTAGAAGGAAAGCTGCTAGGTTGGCAATTCTGGAACTCAACAGTAGCTACTTGCAGGAAAGACAAATATGTCTGAGAATTTTAAAGGCTTCCTCAGGCTTAACACAAAATACCAGATGAGAAACACTGAAAAGTCAGGAGCTGATTAGCTACACCCTTTTCTCTGTGTGTGGGGATGTGGTGAACACCAAATGTTCTGGAGCCAAGACTAGCATCTCAGCTCTAATTGCTGTTCTCACAAGTTTACTCCCTTATTGTCTCCTTAACTAGGAGCTCATCTAGAGATAGCTTTGCCCTTCATCCTGCTAGGAATATGAAGCAGGCATTCTTTACATCATGTGCCTTTTCCAGTGGTAACGGCAATACCTAGTTAGGTATCATAGGATCATTGGTACCACAGTTAAAAAGAAATGTCCAGTTGTCCTTTTCAGTGCATCTTAAGCAAAATTAGAATTTGCACGACTATTAATCTCTGATGGAATAAAGTTAATAAAATTTGAGAGCTGAGAAGAGGCACTGATTACGTGTATGGAAATATTATAGTCTTTTCCTTGAAACTTTAATTCCTTTTTATTCACAGAGATATTTGGTCTCTTGGCTGTGTGCTTTATGAGCTATGTGCACTGAAGCATCCTGTAAGTATCATAGATTCAGATCATTATCATATTATTAAAACAGATATTGGGCAGCCTAGAAAAACTATAGTAATAGTAGTATTCATAGTCAGCTGCTAGGCTTTCTTTCAGCTTATTTATTGATATTAAAGAATGACTGCTAGTGCTTAATTTTTCACAGTGTGTCTGTTTTGTGCATATTAAAGTACAAAGCATTGCACTGCATTTCTGCAACTTGCATATATGTATGTGTGTACACACACATCAAATATATATTTAGTATTTCAATAAATACTAACATCTTTCAAAAGGCAGATGAACAATAAAAAGAACTAAAGCCATACTTCAAGGTTAGGCTTTCAGCATATAATTTCACTTACTTTTATTTAAAATTAGCAGTCTATATGTATTAAAGAGTTTGAAACCTGTATTACCCCAGAAAGCAGTTTGTGTCCCCAGAAATATTTTCCTAAACATATTGTTTTCCTTGGAAGCACGTACATGTAAGAATATAACTGACATAGTATTTTTAGGAAGCTGTGTTTTCCTTAGCCTGATCTGATGCTCAGATAATTCTCAGCCTATGAGTATTATGTGGAGAAGGAAACACAGTGAAGACTAATCCCAACAACAGGAAAAGGGTCAGTCCTCCACGAAGCAGAAGCTGATGATTTACTGAGCTTGGATGTTGAAGGAAGAGCAGTACTAATAGGGAGAGCAGTTGTGCTGAGCTGAGAGCAAGGGAGTACTGTTGAAGAAAATTTCAGATTTCACAAAGTGAGAAAACACTAATGTTACTCTTACAAATATTAGGTTGTTTATTCTGTATTGCTGCCCATTTATTTGAAGGCAGGGACCAGATGCTGATGTAGACAGGAAATGCAAGTGAAGCTAAGGCAAATTTTGGCTACACTTCCTTCAAAACAGTTATGTCAATCAAATGAGAATTTGCTTTGAAAATTATTTTTGCTGACCTACAAGGAGATCTGCTGAATTCAGAGCACTGATTTATCTATCTGAGCGGCTTCAGTTGCTAAAAGTCAGGATTAGTGCCTGGGAGAACACAGAATGCAGAAGCAGAGGGAGGTTTTGAAGGTGAACGCTATGTGTGGTTGAAGGTGAAGGCTATGTATGCAGGTCTCTGTTGACAGGTTTTAGTAAAATAAAACTTGTTTCATTCTGGAAAAATTGCTTCTCTGTTCTTGTATGACAGCAAAGTAGGAATAAAACTTTTCCAGGTCCAAAAGCCATTGGACCTTCTAAGTTGTGCAATTGAAACAAGGAGAATGTAATCAGAAAATACAATCAGATAGTGTATATATTAATTTTACACAGCAAACTATAGTTAAGAAAAAATTGTGAGGAGATTGCATGGCACAGGTCTTCTGTCAGCAAGTACCTTTTTTTCAAGTTCAAGTGTCTAGTCCATCATTTTCAACCAACAGTACTTCTGTCCTCTTTTTACTGTTTTCATTGATTAAGTTTGAAGGCAATAGTTTGCACCAGCTGGTGCTGAAGATTTGCAGAGGCCATTTTCACCCAGTGTCTCCGAACTATTCGTATGATCTGAGGATATTAATTTCCCAGTTGTTTAAAGTATCTCCAAGAGATCGACCGTCTATTAATTCTATTCTAAGGAAGCCCTTCTTGCAGAAGCTCATTCTCAGATATTTGCCCCCTGAGGTAAGTGCCTCTACTGCTGCTTGCTGAGGGAACACTCTGCATCAAAGAAGTATAAACAGTTCTATCAATCAGATACCTTTTTTCTCATAGCTAATACAGGAAGAACTCAGTCACACTGTGATATATAGAAAATGGCCTTCGTCATCACAGTCTGGAGCCAAGCTGATACAAGGTAATGATAGTATTATTTAACATTAATTCTACACTAGCATTTCTTAGTTATGATGCATGTGATGGCTATAACTTTTTCCAGTAGTCTTTATTGCATATTTGGATACAAGACTTTTGCACAAACTTAAAAATAAAAAGAGAAGTGCAAGAGCAGAAACACACCAGACAGTGCATTGCTGTCCTGTTCAGAAAAAGACAGCTTTAAGACTAACTCATTAGCAGCTTTCAGCTAGAAAAGCTGCTGTGGGAAAGTGCTGAAACATTAGCCTTAATTATTTTGAGAATAAAATTTACAAAACTGAGAGGATTTGGTCTAGATGCACTTTAGGTCTGTCACATGAAAAATACCCTGACTTAATTTTACCAAGCTATGTGCAAAAATGCAAAAATCTGTGCAAAACATGTTTTTACAAAATAATAAAAATATTTTACAAAATATTATAAATTAGATTAAATTGCGAGGGACAATTAACTGTGTTTGGATTTAGTGCTCATTGATAGACCAAATTATGTATGTACATTCTTAGAAAACATGAATGAGACTAAATTCTAACTCTGTATGAACTGCTGAACATCTGGCATAGTTCTGGGAGCATGAACTTTTCCTAATTTTATATTCTTCAGTATGTCATAATTATTCCTTAAATTTATCTTTGGATGTCAAAGCAGTTCAAAGAGATTTGTGAAAATAAACCTTTGTAGTTACTTAACTACACTATGGACTTTCCCCTCCTCCCCCTCCAAAAAAAGAAGTTCTTTTGTAGTGTAGCAACCCGTGTTATTTTGCAGCTTATTTTCAGTTAAGATTTATCTGCCTTGAGGACTAATTCAATTTGGACAGAGGCACCTGGACATCTAAATCAGTAATTTTAAAAAATATCTATGGTTCTATACTACTCATAATTTGTATATATTTTATCTCCCAGACATGATACTCTCACAGTCATTACTGAGGAAAGTTTTAAACCTTGGTTAGAAATGACTTCATGCTAGCAGAGACACTATTTTTCCTTACTGCAGCTTAAGTATTCGCAGAATACTGACTGACCAAACGGGAATGGTGTGTAATTGTATTCTCCTACATGGGGAACTCATAAGGTGAATTTTTCACTTTTCATCCTTTCTTTCCAAATTTCACAAGTACTGTAACATTGTCTAATGATTTGTAGAGTACCAAGGTTTAGAAAGGGAATGCCTAAGCAGGTAGTCACCTAGCCTCCAATGAATCAGACCTGTTTTCTGTTCTTGGCACTAGCATGAAATCAGCAGTTTAGTTTATAGATGTCTCCTTTTTATTCATTGTGCTTTGCAGAACTAGTCAATAAGATACACTTCACATGAGTGTGACAAATCATAATGCTTTCAAAAGCCTGTCATTCTAAGAATGAAAGGCAGGATTCCTAGGAGGTGTGAAGCATGATGATCATAGTGATGATGGTGAAAGGACAGCTTATTAGCCCAACCTGTTGTGTGTATGCACATTACTATGTTTTGCAACTACATAATCACTAATCATATAGAGAAGAAAAAATGTAACTTTTTCATATTTCATTGTTAAAAAACAGATACACTTCAAAAAAGGAGAGCCCAGGACCAAGTTTCTCCAGAATCTGGAATGGTGGTGCCTGTCAAGAAACAGGAATTATTTCAGAGAAATGAATTGAAAACTCCTTCAAGAGGGCAACAGCCTATTTTTCAGGTACTGTGCATCTACATTCTCATAATAGTTAATCATCTTCAGAAGGCAGGGCAATTTGCTTATGTATTCTCTAATCTGATACTTCTACACCAAGGGTACAACTTCCTTGCTTCAGACTCCCCACCCTGGTCACAGCAGCCTGAAATTCCTGGAGGCCAGTCTTGCTAGTAAAGACTGAGGCAAAAAAGGCATTTAGTGCCCCAGACTTTTCCATGGCCTGAGTCACCAGGGCACCTGCTCCACTGGTCATAGTTCTCAGTCCTCTCAATCCTTTTACATTTATTCGGATGGCCTGATTTGTACTCCCTATTGCTTGGAGTTGCCATACTTCTGGATGCCATCCTGTAAAACTTATTTCAATAAGGGATATGATAAACACTTCTTGAGGTTACCTCTTCCTTGGGAACATTACTGCCAGTGGAAAATTTTCTTACAAAGATAGGAATTTATATTCTACTGTAATCTGGACTGTACCATGGGTAGGTAAGCCTGGTTTTAGTGTTTCTAAAAGGGAAAGCAGGGAGGAATAGTTACTGTATTTATCATCTATGGATGGGATACTTAGATTTTTTTTATTTTATTTAAGAAAATAAGCAAAATTCAGCATTTTTGTCATACACCGTATAGTGTTTCTACCATGGAAATATTTGTGAATGCCTTACCATGCTTATATCATTCAGTGGCACCTTCTCTCCTTTGTTCCTATGGCAAATAGAAAAGACAGTGGAAACACAGGGATGTTTTCTCACAGTAAGGATGTTGAGAAATGAAAGGCAAGCTCCCACAGGCATATAATGAAAGAGATGGTGGAGTACCACAGTGCTCCCCTGAAAGCAGCAATCAATGCATACACTGCCCCAAACTGCATCCCCTGAAAGCACCAATCAATGCATACACTGCCCCAAACTACATCCCAGGTTCCCCTTGCTCTCACATATAAAAATGAGATTCCCTGAAATAAATTCAGTGCTTTAGGCTTCAGAACAATGAAGTGACTCTGGGGCAATGACACTACAGAGTAAAAAGTTGATTGACTCTAACAACAGTATGGGCTGCTGCTTAATGACAGGAGTTGATGGAACAGGGGAGAAGGGAATGACAATCGTAAGATTATATAAAGCCCTGAAAAGTTAGGAAGTTTCTGGTTTATATGTGAAAGGATTTGGAAAAACTTACACTAACTGTACTGTACCAGTGTGTATTACTGTGCAACTTACACTGGGGAGGGCAGGAAGTTAATTCAAGCTTGTAATGATGCAAATGAAGGCAGGTAAATTAACATGCTCAATTATACTTTCAGCCACAGACCTCCAGATTTAAGATGGCAGAGGAGCCAGAAAGTACTAGAGCACATGGCCATTATGGTCATTACTATGATAAGCTTGACAACTTGCAGAGGAAAGCTAATGCACCTTATGAGCTTTCTCGTATCAGCCAAAGAGTTGAGGAATATTACAAAGTAAAAGGACACATTGCAACTCCACCACCACCACTTGACTGGTAAACTTTTCTCTGTTTATTAGTGGTGAGCTGTCATGCATGTTTTCAGTTACCAGCCTTCCTGATTAGGTAACACTGGACATGGATCAACCAGTATAATTCCTTCTTTCGTAGTCTTCGTTATTTTTCTTAAATAAGGTTAATTGCGCAACAACATAACTACTGTTTCTGCGTATCCAGACGTGCCATCTGAATATATTGTCCTGATGTTTGACATTCATTACCAAAATATCTCCCCAATCTCAGCATTTTGTTATGTGAGAAGTAAAGCACAGGCTTTTTGTAGACTTTCTAATTATACTAAGGATAAACACTGTCTTTCCCAGGGGGATCAGATCAATATAAAGACCACAAGCAATTCTCCACTTGAGGGAACAGAGTGAAATGCAGGCCATGAAAATGTTGTTGTTTTTTTCCCTGCAGAGCTTATATTTCAGTTTCAGATATAATGTCCCTTTCTCTAGCAGTTTGTTTACTCCAAAGCCTTTCTCTTACAAAGTAAAGGTACTTTATTAAATTTGAGATAGCCCGTTCATTCCAAGATTGGCCATTGGTCTGGATGAGTTTTGAAAACCTTGAGAAAGGAAGGTAAAGTACCTTTAATACTGCCCACTTTTGGATACTTCTTTTAAGGTTGGCCAAATCATTAGTTTTCATTCAATGACAACAGTATTTAGAATGTTTCTGTTAAGCTTTAGAACGTCTTGTCTGAGCTGAGTTTTCTAGTGCCTTATTTAAGGGCAAAGTCTTCTGGAGCACAAATGGATTCTGAAGATAGGAAATAAACCAAATAAATCAGGGGGCTTACAAGTGACTGCGGGTTATTGTATTAAAAAAAAAAAAAAAGTAAATATTTAGTAACCACAAAACAGGGGAGAAAGAAATAGAAAAGTTGAATATACAACTTCCACTGTGACAGTTTTCACTTATTTTGAGGATCAGGAACACCACCTTTATTTTCGTTAACACTTTCACATACCATCTATCAATAAAAGGTGGAGAACAACTTTGCACTCTTCAGAAGGCAAATGTAACTGAAGTCATAGGAAGGGGAATGCCTGAAATGGATGTTTACTTTTTCTGATTTTACTGCTGTGCCATATTTACCCATATTTATCCATATTTTATCCATATTTGTAGTTCAAAGAGAGGTCTGGGTTTTTTTTTTTGTATGTGATAGAACCTATAGAGAATTATTTGTGCAGAAGATAGTGAGTCTGTGAAATAAAATGTATATGAACATCTCTCAGGCCTGCAGAATATCTTCAAAGGCGTCTTGAAGCTCAACAGTACAAGATTAAAGTGGAAAAACAGCTGGTAAGTAAATACTGAATCATAGAATAAAATCTGTAAAAGGAATGAAAATCCAAAAGATGGATTTCTAACAGCAGACTGTAATACTGACAGGTAGAAAGTTCTGCTCTAGCGAACTCACTGATCTGCTCCACAATGCTCATATTGAGGTTTCGTCTTCTAATAGAAAAATGCAGCAATATAAAATTCTACTGTAACTTTTTCTTTCAAAAAATACACACTTGACTTACTTCACTCCAGTGGGAGAGGGAGGCTGAATTGAGTGAGCAGTGAAGAAAGTCCTTTGCACTGGGATATATTTGTACATCCACAGGGACTGCGACCATCCTCTGCTGACGTGTATCATGACCAAATAGAGCAGCAGAAAGTAAAGAAAGAACATCTCAAAAACCATCAGCAGGACATATCTAGAAAGAAAGAAATGAAAGAACAGGTAAATGAAATATCTTCCTTAGCTGCTTAAAGATGTCCTCTTACACTCCTTGACAGTAGCGTTCTATATGTCAGATCTGATTCTTTTCCATCTGAACACTAGGATAATGTAAGCTGTTTTCATCTGGTTCCATCTTGCATAAACTACCAAAGACAAGCACAAAAGTTGATGTCCATAATAATTACATAAACCATGGCCTTGTTTTTAGTTTCACTTTGACTGAGATCAGAGGAGATATGTCACTGAACAGAGGAAAACAGGTCCTCTATTGCTGGAGGACAATAGAGCCTCACATTTACGTATCAGATAAAATAGTCATGCATGCATTATTCATGTATGTATATTCGTTGTTCATAAGTCATACGATGACATTTAGAATGTGATATAATACCATGTGATGCATACTGCTTTGCTGGCATATTGTAACTTTGGGAGATTATTATATACAGAAGCTATATGCTTTCCTGGTTTTGCTTTTGGGTGACAGAGAAAACAAACTGACACTTCTTTCTTACATGAACACACATAAATACTTTTAATCTTTCTGTTTGATTTATTAAAAAATGCCAAAATAAGGGTGAACATAATAACTTGTACATAATGGTCAGACTTTGGAACAGCAATATACTCATCATGTACACATTCCTCAGCAACTATTGCTGTTTAGTTCAGCAAAGTCTGTACTAAACATGCCAAAAAAAACGAAGAAATTTTACAGATTAGTCCAATTGTAAGATGAGCAAATTGGGATAGACTCTCATAAAACGCTATGTTATGACTCTTCATAAACTGAGATGTACTTAACACAGAAATGATATTTTGGCCAAATTTGAAGGTTTTGCAACAAAGCAAAAAGGAAGGAGCATCTATATGAATGTTGAAGCTTCTAGAATAAAAGATTTCCAGGTTTTATTTCATTTTGGGGAGCAGGTTGCAATACAAAATGTGCTACATAATTTTTTTGTTCTTCTGATTTCCCGTCCTCTCTTTCTGAATTGCAGCCTTAGCATCAGGCAGTCCTTAGGTTAATCTTGGAATTAGCTGGTTTAGATATAATTCTACAGTTAAGATAGAAAGATACAGTCTGAAAAGCTTCAAAAAGGTTAAACTCTGGAAAAGTTATAACTCAAAAATGTCCTCTAATATGAAGTAGCAAGGAGTCTTTAAAATTGGCAGGAAAGGGTACATCCCTTTTTCTCATACATACAGAGTGTGCTATTCATAGAATATTTTGTTTAGCTACTGTTATTTCTCTATGTATTTCTAATACATGTGTTCTACCTCACTGTTTTATAACAGGAGTACCTGAAACAATTGCAGAGAATTCGAGAAGAATACCACCGTGGTATAAAAGATTTCAGAGTTAGAGCAGGAGTGCACCAGGTAACAGAGCTCAAACATACACACACTCGTACTTCCTTTTTCTATTTTAAGCCAGTACACTTAATTAGAAATTAAAATTTTGTAAAAATGTTCCCTAGGAGAATCGAAAAATACAAGATAAAACTTATCTTGTGAGGCAAGGGAAAGCTGAGGACCAGTCTGAAATTGAGGATGCAGCTGGAACAGGAAAAGAATCTCTTCAGGTATAGGTACTATTTCCTAGTCTAAACAGATTTTTTGTGCAAGTCCTTAAAGGTCTTTGATTCACTCTCTGTGACAAATCTGGAGACTGGTAAAGCTCAAATCTCACCTGATATTTGCACCGTGTGGGAAAGTCTCCCTAGGTTCCCTTCACGAGTAGCTTGGAAAGTTTTTTTGGCTGAGTCCTGAGTTGTTCTGGTAATTATTTTTCATCTGTAAATGTTAGGATGTAATTTTACTTGATTTCTTTTTGTGGTATTTTTCTTTTCCTTATTCTCTGAGTGAACTTTAGAAGAAGCCACTCACAGTGCAAACCTCTACAAGAATTCTGTGCAGAAAATATAGCACTTCATGACAGTCCATGTCCAAAGTTAGAATCCAGTTTTATGTGGAGTCCTTACTTAAACAAAAAATTGGGGGGAAGCAAGAGGAAGAGGCAGAATGAAAGCTCTCCAGCTACAGTACTCCTTCATTTCTTTCTCATCAAATACTACCAAAGCAGCTACTGGAATGGAGTTTCAGAGTTGTTCCACTTTCACTTTGCAATACCGGCATTGTGAACACGAGATGATGTTTGCAGACACATGCCCTTCTGCAACAAGAAGTCCTCTTCTCTTCAAGTGAAATGAATAAAAGTCTGAATTGATGCAAATTAATCTCAGTGTGCAAATTCCCAGTCTAATCTGAAGAGAAGGCAGCTCTGATCTAGCTATCAGGATTCTTCAGTCAAGATTTGCCTTACATGGTGTAGGATGACTGCACTGTTCAGCCTGAGTCATTTTGAATATGGTCATAAAAAATAAAAGATGTAGCATTTATTTCTTGACACAGTACTGTATTGTCCAAACACAGGTTTCTAATATATCAGTTTTACACTTTTTGCAAGGTGGCCTATTTTTATTTTTGCCAGATAAGCCAGAATTGACAAAGAATGGAATATTCTTACAAATATATGTACAAGGGAATCAGTGACTAAATTTATGACTTGCACAAGTCTTTTTTTCACACGGTATACACATATTCTGGTGCCAAAGAGTGCATTTTAAAGTTGGGCTTTTTTTCTCCTTCCAGGACATGGAGAAAAACTTCAAACAAGTCAGACTCCAGGATAGGCAAGACCAAAAAATCTTAGAAAAGAAACACAACACAAAGGTATCCATCCTTACTGCTGTATTTTTTTTCCATTTTCTTCTTATGTCTGTACATTTCAAATGACTGTGTTATCACGGTAGCTCTGGAAATCAAGTTATCTGAGAGTCAATCGGAGGGGTCTACTGTTTGTTTAAAGTTTGTATGAGAAGATAGAATCAAAAAAATAAATGAGATTTTCTCATAATTTGAGGGAGGCTCCCTTTAGATACCCCCAGACAGTAATCAATCGCTACCTCTCATCTTTATACCAAACTCCACTAGTAGTATATGGGAACTCAAGTTTAGTCAAAGTCAGTATGCTAAATTTCTAACATTTTGTTATAAAACATTATTCTCTATAGTGCTTTTTAAATTCTAGAAGGGGATGGGAATTTAATAGAAATGCACATAAGATACCAGGAAGGTTTCTGACCAAAAGATCATTGTGAAGTGGACTAAAGGTCTTTTGTGAAATATTGCAGAGAAGCAGTACAGTATTCAAATTTTAATACTCATTGAGAACCAGCTCTAAGAACCAACTGCTGTTTATTGCAAGGATTTGAATTAAATGATTATCAAGGACACCTTTCCTTTAAATCAAAAGTGGGCGCAATCCTTTGAAAATAGCCATAAACTATACAGAAGTCTCCTTTTGTCCAGTTTGTTCTACTCTGATCTTGTTAAATAGAAGAAAAATATTGTTAAATAAAAGTTATTTTCAATACAAGAATAACTTTTCAAGTTCGTACTCCCATACAAGTTGTGTACATTTATTTAAATGTTTTTATTTAATAAAATAAATTACTTAAGTGTGTGATTTTTCTTTAGGGAGGAGTAAAGTTTGAAATTAATTTAGATGTATGTGTTCCTGAAGAGGACAGCGTTCAAGAAGCAGAGGTAGTTATATTCAAAGGATTTACATTAGTAATCTGAAACCACAACAGTAGCTCCATGATCTAGATTTTGTTTCTATTACTTTCATCTTCTTCTTTCATTACAATGAAGCTTCCTATGGAGGATTTGTTGACATATTGCATAGATCTGACCTTGCTCAAGAGGATAATTGCTTAGAAGAAAATTGTATGATATCTGGGTCAATCTTTCATATGGTAAAAGATGAAAGAGTGCAGATATTTAAATTTTGTAAACTGGCCTTTAGGGGAAGAACTCATCTAAAAATTCAGTTAGTCTGCAAATGCCAAATTTAATTTGTAAATTGTTTTAATATACTTCTGTTTCTTTCCACTAGTACTGTGTCACATAGCTAGAATAATATTGTGATGAACCAGATGGTATTTAGAAAACGTGGAAGTGAGACCACAGACATTATGGATTTAATTTATTAAAATGGCATTTGTGGCTGATTGACATGTAATAGCTGCCTATGAAGATTTTTATTAGTGTATTAGAATTAAGTATTTGTACTAGCAATGTCAAAAATACAATTTCTTTCTAGTATGTATATTCTTAATTTCTAAAGCACTATTTGGCATTCTGTGGTTTCACATCTCTTCAGTCCTGTGCAGCCTTCTGATACACAAATCACAACATGACTTTTGAGTTCTGCTGGTTCACTTTTTATTACACATATTTCCTCTGCATACATGAGGATAGCTGGCACGCACAGTAAAGTGAAAAGTGATTAATGTACTCTACGTGTTTTCTCTTTCCAGAGTAACTTATTGTTTTTTCAGGTACCAGATAAACTCGGTCAGACTTTAACTTTTGTGGATGGTGAGAATCTTAAGGAGAACTTGGTGGAAGTTTATGAGGATCATGTGGAAAGAGCTTTGGAAGAACTCTCTGCATACCAAACAGGTATTCCTTGGTGAATACAACCATGACTATCCTGAAAAATTATATAGAAGTTAGGTAAATTCAGTAACTTAAGCTATAGAATTTATCAGATAAACAGCAACTTTATCTGATGAGCTGTTTCTTGATACCACACACTATTATAATTACACTTAAATCTATTTAAAAAGAAATAACTTTGCCTCCTTTTTTTAATTCCCATAAGAGTACAAAGACACAGATGATAGGAAAGAAAACAGAAAACATTGGCAAGCTGGAGCCCCTCAGACACCAATGAATTTTTTAGCCGATGCTGATGTCACATCTGTATTACCTGCTATGGCTGCAAATGAACTTGGTAAGAAAGTTTTGGTTTTCAGAAAGTAGGGAGCTGCTCAAATTCAGCCAGGCTACTTAAAGACCTTGGCCAAAACAATTCCATACCAGAATATTCACATGATCTGGCAAGCTTTTAATTGTAGGACTTCATAACAACTGAAGTTATTGTATGTGTTAAACCATAGAATGCAGTTGTCATTTTCCCGTCTGTCTAATATCGCAATCATGTTGTGCTGCTCATACATATTAAAAGGTCTGAATTTAATGAATCACTCTGTGGGCTGGGTAACAACAGCTAAAAAAGCCAGTCTGTGCAACTTCCTCAGGCCTTGAGTTGACACACAAGAATTAGGGCAGCCAGCTGCCAAAGCTGTCCCAGGATGTGATGGAGTTCTGTTTTCCCACTCTCCTATTAATACGGCTACTCTAAACTAGTGTTGCCACACAGCCCCAGGTGCATGCTCACACAGCTGAGACTGTGGGGATGCTCCATTTCAGAAGAGGCTGACAGCAGGTTTCTTACAGTACCAGTGCATATCTTCTCAGGCAGCCAGGCATCTCTAGTGACTGTTTGCTGCAACCAAGGAGCTCTTTCAGCATTTAGCATTCTCCCAGAACCCCAGATACACAGAAATAATCTGAGGAGTTTACACATACAGTGAAGACAAAGCAGAATATTAGAATCATAGAATAGTCTGGGCTGGAAGGGACCTTCAAATGTCATCTAGTCCAACCCCACTGCAATGAACAGGGACATCTTCATCTAGATGAGATTGCCCAGAACCACATCCAACCTGACCTTGAGTGTCTTCAGGGATGGTGCATCCATCACCTCTCTGGGCAACCTGTGCCAGTATTTTACCATCCTTATTGTAAAGAATGAATCTCCCCTCATTTACCCCTTGTCCTATTGTAACAGGCCCTGCTAAAAAGTCTTTCCCCATCTTATTGTTAATATGCCACTTCTTGTTCATTCTGTCTTAGGCAAAAAGAGAAGCTTTTTCAGCCCCAGGAAGCCAACAAGTTTGAGAGCAAGGACTGCTCAATGACTTAGGTCTGTCTATTCCAGGCTTAATAAGCAGTTACTTGAACATTAAAACTGACGTTAAAAATTTTTTGGGCTAAATAGTCCCAACTATTTTTTCTCTACAGTATTAATCAGATCAAATACAGGAGTATTCCATAAAGCTAAAAAAACTGCAAACCCTAGGTTTCAGCATTACCCAAGGGGAAGAAATTAGTGTCAAAACTAGAAAGTGTGAACCTGACAGAAGACAGTATCAAGCTACATTCATGCTTTAGTGACCTGAGAACCTTGCTATTCTTCAGCAGACCATGCTGTTCTGCCTGAAGACATCCCACGAAACAGGAAGCAATGGAAACGAACACCAGCAGGGACACTCCTGAACATATTAGTCAAAGCAGAGCTATCTAATGATTCCTTCATGCACCTTGGAGAAGAAACAGGTAGGATGTTTGTTACTGTAAGTTTTGCAAGTTTTACTTTACTGTGTTATTTCTTCTACCACTGGCAGATGGTCTGTGATGAGAAGCAGTTGGCTAAGTAGAACAAAGGCAGCCTGTCCCTGCAGCCACTGCTCAGTCCTGTAGCAGAGAAAGGCCTCTTTCAGGATGTCACTGTTTTCAGTAGCAGGGAAAAGGACAAGCCGTACTTACTAGTTATTACTTTCATATGTAATTCTTTTATTTGCTTGGGTAGACAGAGGTGAGCTACTACAGCTGGCATGTTGGCAGGTACCACAAATCAGGATCTAGCCCCTGCAACTGTTAAGGTTAAGGTTGAAGAAGCCTGTAAAAAACATTTATACAAATACATGTATTTCTGTAGAAGAGCTGTAAACTGTAGTATATGGTGACTGAAACTACAGTGATGTCTTACTTTACAAGGTGGTCCATGCTGATACAGCTGACACTAAAACAGATTTGAACTCACACTACAATGCACTTTCCCAAAGTAGCAGATTGGTTTAAAAATGACATTTACTTTGCATCAAAGTTGTTAGCTAAAAATCCTAGAATATTTTCCACAGAAAGACACTGTAAATGTAACCAGACATTATGGTTTTATGCATAGTTGCCAATCTACTTGAATATGTAATTGCATGATGGGACTTTTAAGGCAGCCGAACATGCCAAGTTTCAACAATTTTAATGGATCATGAGAAATACCTTTCATTTGCAACTGTGTAGTTAGCACTCTCCTGCTAATTATGCCTCACATACATCTTCTCATAGCATAACAAGCTCTTACAAAACTGCACTATTCTGAAGGCTAAACCAGCTAAACGTGCCAGCTAAATTCCTCTCCTAGGACTAGCTTTATTGCTTATAAATTAAAAACAGAAACAAACTGCTGTTGCTTTTATCAGTTAGATTTATTCAAACACAGCACTCTCTCAAACCGAGTTCTGCCCTGCTACTCAGGCTGACATTGTGGAGTACAGTGTTACCCAGACTGACAGATTTCTGTTGGATCACACACAGAAATTAGTCTTTATACTGAAACAACTCTTAGCACTGTTGTCCCACCTTCAGGGTAGGGTTGCCCTTCAGTCTCTGAAAGTGAGCATTTTTAGGTAACCATAACTACATTCAACTATGATTTTCGGTTTTTCCCAAGCAGTACTCCCCTAAGTTTTCCACTGACAATGCAGATCCCTGTGTTGGGAACTTAAACATACCAACATCTGATTGCCTTTCTTACTTAACTTTTATGGTTCCATGGTTATGGTCTACCAAACACACCAGGTTCCACTAAGCAGAAGTTACAAACCACTAACTAAAAAGTGTGATCAAGAATAACAGAAGCCTGGTATTTACATTATTGTGATTTGAACAACAAAAACATTCAAGCAGTTACCTATTTGCTATTACTTTACATACACTTTTATAGGTAGCCAATACACATATGAATGTTTCTCTTCCTCTCCAGAAGGGAGGTTAACTATGTTGCCTCTGAAAGAAAACAAGGAAGATGATTCAGAACCGTACTCTGCTATTACTATTGATGAAGACCGACTTGAGCCAAGATCAGATGATGAAGACACGTAAGTCAAGCTCATCAGAAGAAAAATTCATGTAACTGAACAGTTTTAATGAAATGACAAATTGCATTGCCTAAAGCTTTTCTTCTGTTGTTTTAATTTCATACATGAGTAAGACTTACTTATTTTACAGACTCTGCTAATTTAACTTTTAATTCTATAAATGATTATGTGACATGCTAAGGTTGTCATTAAAAATGCTATGCAGAAGTATTAATGTAGCTTTGCAGCTCATGTTCTCCCATCTTACAAAGACAGGTAAACAATCTCACAGAAAGAAGAAACATTCACATTATATGTGTCGCTTGTAGGGTCTTTATAAAGTGTTTAAAAGATAACTGAAAGGCCTCAAAAGGAGAAAGCTTTGTAACAAAGATATATTGAATTCATAGAATTATCTTGGTTTACTTTACAGAAATTTTGAAGATTCTGAAGATGAACTCAGACACGAGCTGCAGGAATCTCCGGAAAAAGTGGCAGCTTCTCCAGCAGAGAGAAACATGGAATCTTCCATTCTTTCAGTAAATAAAGATCAAGCAGATGAAGAAAAGATGAGTTTACCTCACAAACTACTTGGAGGATCTGATGATGATGATTTAGAAAATAATCATGGGTCACTTAGTGTTGACATACATAATGAAAAAGGCAAGCAGGAAGCCAGCACTACCTAGAACACTGGCACTGTTACTCTTTCAAAACTTGCTTGAAATTTTAGCCACATCAGTGACAAAATTTAAGGATAGCAGATATTAAATGCCAAGTAAATCAGCTGCTTTTCAACAGTGCTAAATGCTCAATTAAAGTTAATAGAAGATTGTTACTATTTGTTTAAAAGGAAAAAAAATCAGGCTACTTTTCAGGTGTCTAAATGTTGAAAAATCCTCTTCCAGACTGAAATGCATTTTCATCTGTTCTAAACTTCCTGGGACATCTCCGTCAACACTTGCTTGAGCAAATTCCTGATTGCATACTCTCATTTTTGTATCATGTAAGAAAATCTCCTAGTCAGTATACTGTATTTCCCCAGCTCAATCAAGTTATTTTAAGAAGCTCTTCTAGCTTTTCATAATCTCTCTGTACTGCCAATACAGTTTTGTAATCTATAATTTCGTTTACATGGTACTGACTGTACATAAGTATCACCAACTGCTCAGCAGTTTTATACAGTAGCAGTTAACGGGTTTATTAGCACCCTGAGACTTGTGCATTACCCAGTTCCTATGAAAATATGGGACAGTAGGTTCTTCCCACCTTATCTTTTCATATACAAAATTTCATATAATCCAGACAAAGCACAAAAAGAAGGAAAACCACATTCTAAAGTATAATTTCCGTAGCTTTTTCATAGACTTGCAGAATCATTTTGGGGAGGGGGGTAATCACTGACCTGGCCCTGCTGGCCACACTATTTATGATACAGGCCAGGATGCTGTTGACCTTCTTGGCTGCCTGGGCACTAGCTGCTCATGCTCAGTGGTCATCAGTCAGCACCTGAAGGTCCTTTTCCACTGAGCAGCTTTCCAGCCACTCTTCCCCAAGCCTGGAGCATTGCATGGGGTTGTTGTAGCCTAAGTACAGGACCCAGCACTTTGCCTTGTTGAACCTTATCCCATTGGCCACAGCCCATGGATCCGGTCTGTCCAGATCCCTCTGTAGAGCCTTCCTACCCAATAGCAGATAATGCAACACAGGAAACGTGTGATCAGTTACTCCAGGGGAAAGAGAAATGCAGGGTATGTGCAAGTCTCAGGGAGACAACAAAGCTTTTCTTAGTTTGCTAAAATATACTGCTTCAATGGCTCAGAAAAGGACTCTATGTTTTTTTCATTTCTGATACAAAAGCAGATGTCCAATTTCTTAACATTTTTTGCACAGCATTCCGTTTTATAATAAACAGTAGCTTAGGGCTTTAACATTCATGTTTGTGTAGCATTTAATTATGCCCTCTAATCTAGACCATTCTGTTCCCTAGAAACAGAAAACAAACCTTTCAGCAGAGTAGGGCTGGAAAAATACCATTAAGTGTCATAGCATGAAGGGCCACTTATTAAAAAGCAAGTTAGCAAACCCACCATATGATTAACCTAAAGGAATCACTGTAGGTAATGAAATCTCCACAGTCACAATTAAAATCCCACATAATAGAGTTTGCCACACAATGGGGGACAGCAAATTGAAAATGTGCTGCAGATCCTGGGAAAGGAGTCTTCTAGATAAAAAAGCCATCCAGCAGGAGTGCTGACTTTAAAAAGTGTGACTGTGGGAGAAGAGCCATGAAATGAGTGGAGACTGCAAGTATTCAATAAATAAGAGAACTTAAGAGATGTAGTCCTGCTACAAGGAAACTTAACGGGTTTTGCAGTGCACCATACTGTCATGTAGTCAACAGAGAATTTCCAGGAGCATTTCCTTCCCAGTGAAAGAAAAATCTATTACATAAAGCAGATACTCTGACAGAAAGAAAACCAAATCTCTTTATTGAACAGGATGAAGGGGTCATGGACATATTTACAGGTAACACCTAGTCAAATATAAAAAGTTAATTTTACTCACATACAGTTTTATCCATAGACATTTATTTAAATAGTGGCTCCACGGATAACAGGAATGTTTCTTCAAAATGCTGGTCAGAAAACCTGTGCACAGAGCGACGGGCATTTTCTCTGATCTCTAACCTTTTTTCAGGAGACAAAGAGAGGATATGAGCCATCCTTTCAGCATAACTGTCCTCATTTTCTGCTAGGAAGCCTGTTATGTGTCCTTCAAAGGGTACCACAATATCTAACTTGGGGCCTCCAGAGTTGTGAGCCAGGATAACTGTGCCAGCTGCCATACATTCAACGACTCCTGTAAAAGACACAGAACACTTGATATGAATGTGCACGTCACGGACTCTGCCTTTCTGTAAGGCACTGGAAACCACCTTAAATTCACCCAGAATTGTAAGTTACTGTAGGGTGCTGTTCTAGAGCAATTTGAAAAACACAGAGTCAGTGGTCTTGTAACAAAAACACATACTGAAGTTTTTCAGTCCTAAGGACTGAAACATGTTTCTCTTAAGCACACAAAACTGAAATTAGAAATCGGATATAATTAAGTTGTGGTTCTGTAACATCTCATCCAAGATATTTTATCACCAGTATAAAGAGCGGGGAGAAGAAAAAAAGCTAGATATTGAAACAAAGGTAGATAAACATGGAAGGTAGCTCTGTGACTGAACCCTGCATAGTTCTGTCCTGCTGTGACAGAATGCTGCAACACTGGTGGCAGTGGTTTTAACTGGTGATTGTTGTTTCAACTTCATGACATGGTGGCAGCTGCAAAAAAAACAATTAAAAATCAGAGCTGATCATAACTGTATTCATCATCTCATTCACACTGAAGAACTTTAGCACTTGGATACTGAGAGAAAAGCTGACTGCACATCTCAATCAGATGACATTTAGAAATTCAGTATTTTGCAGATTAACAAAAGTTTACAGCCTTTGACAACTCAGCACAACAAACTTGTAGAAGATGTTACGTTTGTAAAAATCTGTATTTTTGATGCAAGAAGTTTTAATGAAATGGAAATCTGACAGCAAGTTTTCCTCAAACGCAGTGGGATTAGAATAGCGTATAACGTGCATGTCAACTTCAACTCTCCTCCATGGCTCCAGAACATACCTCAGAAATCACTTTAGTTGCTGGTTCTTCCCAGGTCTGATTTGATTTTTAAGAAGTACCCCCTAGCTCAAAAATCACCAACTATAAATAATGCCCCAAAGTTTTAGAACATGTTTTTTACAGGAAAAAAGCCAGTGGAGGTGAAGGTGAAATCATGTTGGAATGCAAAAATCACAGTGTGATTCTAACACTCTTTTAAATTTACTTAAACTGTTTTTTTGGGGGAAATATGAGAAACCATTATTTCCATTTTTTTGGAGGTGCTGCTAAGAGGTACTTCAGAGTACATTTTCTTATACCAAGTTGCTATAAACTACTACTCCTGATACTTAACTTGTACTCTAATAAAAGTCTGGTGACATTAACTGCAGTTTAGTCATATTATAGGCAAGTACAGTATCCAGCTGCTAGTTTGCTAACTTCCCCTCTTGTAGATTTATGGCAGATGGGCAATCTTGCATTCCCTTTCAAGGTCAGGACTCAACCAATCCCAGTAAACTGAGCCAAATAACTTTCTGCTGTAAGACAGCACACTGTAAACGATGTGCCAGCTCCTCTTTGGTGTTCTGCTTCATGTTACAGTGACTGATTTAAGGAGTTGATTTACCTACCTTAGCACAGGTGCCTAGTGCAATGAGATAACCAAGGCTGCATGGTAGCATCTATATGGGGCTTACAAATAAAAGACAGGATATATGGGAGACTCACAGCTCTGAAACAGCAGCTAGAGCTCCATGACATAAATTAGGCATTTCATATGGCAGTTGAGACAGGTGAAACACAATTAAAATCTCCACACATGGATGTATGTCTGCACGTGAACTGTGTCTAAGCTCTCCCTGAAGACAGTGGAGCTAACAGGGCACAATCTAAGGCGGTAAAACAGAAGCACCCACTGCCTTTTGAGGCTCTGCTGGGTACAGAAGTCTGACAAACCTAACTCAGGACCAGAGGGTGACCTGACTTCGCAGACTGATAGCTGCAGTTGAGGCAGGACATCCTGGGCAGCACAGATGGGATTCCCTCCCTGTTCAGGCTCCTAGAGCTTGCCCATAAGTAAGAATCTACTACATTTACAGCCTTCAGCTTGTGCTACAGTAGCACCTAGTGGTTACTCATCTGAATTCGTCCTGTAGGCTTTACTTCAGCTAGGATGCCTCTGACAAGCCCAGGAGCTGACCACCTGCTTGGTACACAGGCCTCTACACTTAAGACACCTACACTGAGAAGCCTTAATCATGAACTGAAGCCCTCCCCAACTGTGTCCCCAGCTGGGATAAATGGCTGAACACTGATGAAAGATACTGACCGATCCCGAAGTGCTCATTCCACATTGTATGCAGGCCAATGGTGGCCTCTGCCAGATGTCTCTTTAGCTCCTCAAAGGGAATGTTTATTCTGAATGTCACATTGTTACTAACTCCCAGCTCTTCACAAAGATCTTTAAGGTTATCTACACGCTCTTCATCTTGCTGGTTACGACAGCCTCCAATTAAGACAAGTTTCAATGATGACTGCTGCCCCAGTCTCTTCTCTTTTAGCAATTTAGCGAAGGCTCTGATTTGCAAAGGATGATCTTTTTCAGGCCTGAACTGGCCAATGGAAACAATGGAATATTCACAGGTGCTCTTTTCCGCTTCCAGTGGAATATCCAGGAAGGTCTGAACATCGCATGGTGGATACACAATGCTAGTGCAAGCCGCAGCTTTCCAGAGGGAAAGGATATGATTTAGTGTCCAAGAAGAATTAACCATTATCACATCACTGCAGGACCCGACCAATCCATACATGAAAGCAAAGAAGTAGTAGTAGACAAGTTTAAATCTGCTGAAAAGAGGGCTGTTTGTAATGAAAGCTGCATTGTTAAATCTAGTATCCTGATTCCTAACGACAGAGAGCATATCGGTGCTGATAGTGGGGTAATGGACATAGCACCCAATGTGGCAACCACCTAAGTATTTAAAGAGGGGAAGGGTGAAGGCATAACCCATTGAGTCAATATAAATATCAGGAACACACTTTAGCAGAGCTTCCCAGCCGAGAAACACTGATCCTAAACTTTGTCCCAGCAAAGTGAAGTGAGGGTAAAGAGAAGCTTCCAAAAGGTAGCGTTTTTCTAGAAACACAAACTTCACGGGGTGAGTCAATTTAATACTGAATCTTCTGAAAGCACCTTCTACTATTTCTTCTCCAGTGACACCTCTATCACCAGTGTAAACCACACACGTCACATTTCTGTACCTGCAACAGTAAAGGAAAAGAATTTCGTACACTCTTCACATTTTTTAGCATGAAAGTAAAATATCCTTTCAAAATTACTCAAGAAGTATGTGAAAACAAAGGACTGGCCTAGCTCTGAAATTATTTTAACTAAATTACACTTTTCCTTATATTTCCATGGGATTTTTCTAATCTGCAGAAAAATATATGGCTGAGGACTTGGAGAATAGTTATTTTTAGTAAAAACATAAAAGGAGTTGAGCATTATTCTACAGACTTAAGAATGCATTGCCCCACACTAGATGTCTGTTTAGTGCACGAGTAAAATGCGTGAGACTCTGCAAGCCAATGTGTGTGCCAATGTTACATTCAATTCACATATTAAAACATTTTGCCTCCTGCACCAAGAGGCAAGTATAAGCTATGAGCTATGCCTATACAATGTTCCACACCAGTACTGGAAAACGGATGATGAAGGAGTGGTTCTCCCAGGGAGAGAGAGAAGTGAGAGATGCCCCAGCAGGAAAGATCTGGGTAAAAGGATGAAGTGGTGCAACCGGGTGAAACTTGGATGTAAATAAAATGTAGGACAGGTAGACTAATGATACCTACTTCAATATGTAAAATGCCAAAATGTGCAAAAATAACACCATCAGTATGTCAGAATAATATGGTACCTGATAAACATACATGCTTACTTTTTCTGGAGTGTCCTTATGGCACACCACAGGACTCTCTCCCCTCCGCCACCTGCATTGCAATAGGGGTGAAAAAAGGCAACCAGCAATTGCCGCTTCCCGTCTCTTCCTGCTGAGGTGAGCTGTTTCTTCCTTTGCTGTATCCAGAACCGTATTCCCCACAGTAGAACCACCACGCAGACACATAAGATTCCACTTAGAAATAACGCAGGGATTAACAATGAGCACAGCAATCTGAAACAAGCCGGAAATTTTAAACTATAAAATTGCTTTAAAGAAATACTGTGTATGAAACTGAGAAACAGAGGCTGACAGGTAGAGCTACATGGAGTTCA